ATGAATGATCAATATAAACCAATACAATTTCGTTCACAAATTATTCTTCATAATAATCCTCAAACAGATGTACGTATTGACAAATTTAGTGTTGCTTTTCATTGTCCTGATGATCCGTCAACGAATACTATATCAAGACATCATCGTTCAACACCAGCTACACGTAGTCAATCATTACATGCATCCAAATCTTCTTTACCACAACGGCATCAACTAAAAGATAACGATTCAAGGAGAAAACTTCAACATTCATCGTCTTCATCATCTCTACGATCTCAAGCATTATTACATCAATGGATTGATGATATTTGTGCTAACACACAATTAATGTCTAATGATGATATTGTTTTTTTTATTAAAAATGGAGAATTTTTTGCTAGAATTTAATAATAATAATTATTCTTTTTCTTTGCATTTCTTATACATGAAGATAAATAATCAAAAAAAAAAAGTATATAATTTTTTATTACTTGTATACAATAGCTCTTATAATTTTTTTCATGTGAAAGTCATTACTGATAGACATAATGATGAAAAGAAAATGTTTATCGGTAGTTGATTAGATAAGTTATACGATACATTATATTATTGACATAAGAAATCAAGTTGATGAAGAAAACCTTGCTATTGATTTGTTAATACACACATGTATATCAGTAAAAGAATAAATGTTTACAAATCCTAGATAACTACCTATAAATATTTAAATTTAGTTACCAATACGATTTATTATTTTTGGTTCTCTTGAGTATATGATCTATTTTATTAAAATACATGAATTGATTTGAATTTAACAGGAAAGGAACTCTAGGTAAGATTACGGAAAGAAATTTGTTCTATAATAACTTTAAATATCTGGAGGGAAATATGAATTGATTAGTTGTTGTAAGCCAAAAAATGCTTTTTTCTTCTATGGCTTTCTTCTTGTTAAAAACGCATTTCTAGCTCTATAACTAATGTTTTTGAGCATATATTAATGATTATTATTCTAACATAAAGAATTGTCAAATGAATTCCTTCATGTCTAGGTCTTGGTTAAAATGAGAATAACTACTAGTAGATCATTTATTTCTCATGATATAGAATTAAAGAAAAAATATACATGCATTACTTATTAATAAAATTCAAAAATGAAATGAAAGTAGATAGATTATCATTCTATTTATTTAATCTATCCATGCAATTAATTTTCAAAAGAATAATCTATTCATTGATTTATTAAAATTAATTTACAAATCGATTCATTTGTAAAATAAACAACAAAATATTTATACAGAATCGCATATATGAAAATACTTATCAAGATAACAAGCAATAAAAATAATAATTAAAATATTTTCCATGATTATCACAAGAACAGTTTTTATTAATTGACAATTTGGAAGACAAAAACAAATAATAATAATAATCATAATTGAAGAAATTAATTACAATCGAACAGTAATAACATCAGGAGATGATGGACGATCATCTAATACGATATTTGTTGAACGTACGACTTTAGGTGCAGTCGATATATTCGAACGATTTGGTTTATTATTAGATGTTGGATTCATATGTTCTAATCTAATACTTTCTTCAGCTTCATTTTTCCGTGAATTATAACTATTTGTAGTAGTAGTGGTAGTAGTAGTTGTTCGTTCATCACTAGTTATTTGTTTATTCATATCTGTATTTTGTGCACGAATTTGTCCGAGAATTGAATTATATAAATGTTGCCATCGTTCATTTTCTTTCGGTTGTTCTGAATCAATATCATTGGAACTGGCGGTTGTTAAACGTAAAGAAGGTTTTTTTAATACACGTTCACCATTCGTAGATTCATTACGATAATAACCTTTTGTTGTTACAGTTGTTGGGTTATTATTAAATTTAACACGAGGAGGAGTAATATCATCATCATATTCATCATCACTATATCCTGATGATTTTTTTCGTTCAATCATTTTTGAAATATAAACATTAAGTGGTGCTTTACGACTATTAGTTTCTTCCGGTACATTGCTTAATTTTCTATGTGTTGTTTGTTTCGTTATTTTTCGAGATTTTTTTCCAAATTGATTGAATTTTCCTGAATCTTGAATAGTCGATTCATCTGGTTGTACATCCGATATAAGACCTGATTTCATATACCAATCAATAAATTCATCTTTTGTTATATGATCATCATCATTTCCATTTAATTCATTGAATGCATCATCGATACGTTTCTGTAAATTTGTTTCTTTAGCATGTCCTGATTGATTTTTATTTTGATGACGATTATCTTGACTATTTTTATTATTGGAATTTGTTACATCAGTAAGTGTCTGTAACATTTTACCAATTTCATCTCTAGTAATTTTTCCATCATTATCTAAATCGAATACATGAAATAATGTTTCAATAAGACGTAAACGATTAAAAACTGATGCAGCTGATAAAGCCATAACAAACTCTCTAAATAAATTATGAAAATTATTTGATTTCATTTCAAATATATCTATATATATATATGTAGAATCAATCTAGTACGTAAAGGAGAAAAAAAAGCAATTTCTATAATCTGCTTATCTTGAAAATTATGGTGAATGAGAAATAGTCGTTATTTCTCTTTGATTTTATTAGTGTTAAAAATGAACAAGAACTATCTTATGATGTTAATAAACTTCGTTTATCATCATTGTTATTGTTAAGTGTTACAACTTCAGATATTTTTCAATAGTATTATTCGATTAAATTTATAATAAAAATAAAAATATTAATATTATCAATCGTCAATTTTTTTTCTATAAGTCTTTAAAATCCTTCTTCCTGTTTTTTTCCGCATGCTTAGAAATCCCTATTCATGCCTTTTATATTTAAATCAATAAGAAATTAATGATAGTTTAGTCGAATATTGAACTCAATCACCTACATTACATTTTTTTATGTAGAATCATATACATAGGGCATTCTATTCTCAAAGGGATTTTTATAATTCAAAAGATTTCATTTCATAAAACTTTTTTTTTGTATTTAAACTATAAGAAGAATAAATCTTAATTTCGATATTCTTACCTAAAATCGATAAATTGGTTTTTATCTTGGTCATAAACATTAAACATATGTTTGATATAATCAGCTGTTTTTTGTGTAGGCTTGCCCATTATTTTCGCATATTCTTGTTCGAATTGTTTTAATGTTAGTTTACCATCTGGACAATCTTTGTAGAAATTTCTATATTCGAAAAAATTGTCAAATAATCCTATAAATAAAGATCAAATATTTACGTATGCCAAATGAGTAATTCTTCTTTTGTAAATCCAGTATCTTGACAAAGTTCTCTAATCATATCTGCACTCAACGGTTCAATATTAATTGAGTTACGTTTTGATGATCTTGGACCCATTATTTATATGCAAAATAAGTATAATAATAAATAAAAAAAACAATAGCAATTTTTTTATCTAAAACAATGCGTTTTCATCTTAAAAAAGTACATTTGTTTTATTTTGAATGTTGACTACTGTCGTTAAATGTTTTACGAATTATTTAACAGAAAAGAAGAAAAAGAAGAAGTAAGTAACAAAAAAAAAGCTACGTAAAAGAAAAATGACGATTACTAAAATGTGCAATGGTTACGCGTATAGATTGCAATGACAACACAACAACATGCACATGTGTGTATGTGTATGTGTGTGTGCGACGTATATCGCGCAAAACAAGAGAATGAGAATAGAGAGAACGAGAAGTCGACAAAGAACAGTGACACAAAAAAAGAAATTTTTGTGTACTATAGAATAGGATAAAAGTTAAACCTCTTGGTAATTACATCTTAGCAATATATATATATGCATACATATTTCATCGTACAGATGTTGTATATGCATCTGAAACGAATGAAGTAAAGTGCATTATTCTATCAAAATTCAATTTTGCTTGAAGAAAGAAGAATAGTAGAGAATATTCTTTGTGAAGTGATTTGTCATATTTACTTTTATTGCAGTCATGATAAACTTCGTGCTTCATTTTGAAAAATCATATCTTTGATTATTTTAATATTGTCATAAAATATTACCGATATAGGTAAGAAAAAGAATGAGTAATTTCCTTTGCATATTTCAGCTGCTATGTATATGATACGTACTGCCGTTGATAATTAGTCGTATTAGAATACTTACGATGATTAATAGGTTTTTTTTTCTATGCTTTGATTCATTAAAAAAATGACCATTGTTAATTTTTTTCACCGTTAAGTAGGTGCTTCGTTATCGACATGTCAGAAACAAAGTGTTGATTTGTTTCCTGTCATGTTCGTTTTTTTAATAGAGTAAATCAAATAGAATAGAAAGACGATGAATGTAAATACTCCTAAGAAAACATATATATATATATATATATAAGAATAGTAAAGAATAAGAAAACTAAGAATAACATCTGCAGATATATTTTTATCAAGATTTGCTTATTCCTGTCGCCGTCTTCTTCTTCTTCTTCTTCGTCTCCTCATAATAAATATCCGTTTTTTTCTAATAAATGAAGTATGATTCGTATTTTTTTTATATAACATCAATGATTGCTTTTATGATAGGTACTTATATAGGCAATGAAAAAATAAAAACTATCCCTTGATCGTAGTTTTTGACCCACATCCTTATTGATATGAGTGTACTGATAGATCCTCAGTAAATATAAAGAAAGAGACCGACAGATAGAAAGCTGTAAAGAACAAAGAAACTAATAATTAACTCATAGACAGGACTGGATTAAAAGAAAAAAATGAAAAGAAAACATGAAGTTAATACAACATAACCTTGAGTATTTGTACTTAGACATGTAAAAGCTTGATTAGAATTTATTTCTATACAATAGTATTCAACAAAAATAATATACGGGGAAAAAAAGACAAACATTTACGCCTACCGGTAATTTCTTTTCATCGTCATTGTTGCATAGAAGGTGTATATGATGCATACTAAATTTATGGTTGTCATTTAAAAAAAAGAAGCTGTCATTATTATTATTCTGACCTGGAATGGTTACATGTATTGACACGAATATAATTGATGATTGAATATTGACAGCTTAATGAAGACTTTTTTTTGTAGCCTCTAAGTATATTCTCAATCAGTTTCCCCATTTTTCTACCCTCAATCAATCTTGATTTTAACAACAAATTGTTTATTTACATATTTTTATAGTATATACGTTAATGGTAATATTCTCATCTGTTGTGAGCATTGCTTTAGGCAAAAAAAACTATTCAGAAATATTCAAAACAGCAAGTAAAAAAAGAATAGATTACTTTTATCTTTTATTATTTTCTGTCGCTAAGATATGCATCATTTTGAAATACAATGCTTGTGCTACGAATATCTTTACGATTTCTATCAGAGCATCATAGATTGTCAACAAACGATAACAATCAATCAAGCATACAAATTTAATCTATATTTATATGCATTAGATTAAATAATTATTAAGAACGCTGAAAATAATGTTTCCGTCGTTATTTACTCAACTTCATTAAAAATGCATTTATATATATATATAAACAAACACATTCTGTCGCGTACTTCTATGACAATAACAAGAATTTTTAATTTCTTCCTATTGGTATTCTTCTTCAGCTAGTAAGAATTGCATTGATTATATGACAGTAAATAGAATTAAGAAGTATGAATAACTAATATTTTGTATTGATATTTAATGAATTTGAACGTATAGATTGTATAGACTACGTCATCAATACTACTGATGTCAGCAATAACACTATCATTTTACTGATTAAATATGGCGAGTCTGTCTCTCCATTTTTTGAGTCAATATTGAATCGAAATTCCTTAAGCATACTTATCAAATTCTATTCTATATCTCTATCAACTATTATGACGTTGAATAATATTGTATACTTAAAGATTTATTGAATTTTATTCACCATTTCGTTATCTCATACGTCGATATAAATCAAAAATTGACATGTTTACCATTTTTTGTCAGTACATTCTTACTATCTGATATGCAAGATAAATGACATTCATGACAGATTCCTTTAAGCAGTGCAAAACAAATTTAAACATACGTGTTTCACATCGTATAAGAGATTTTAAAGGAACTTCAATTATTCTTTCTGAAGTCACCTATTATGCCAAGTACATTACTTTCTGTTTAATCTATTTTTAACACTTATACTCAATTATTTATGTTAGTATATGGAAAAATAATATAAAACAAAACAACTATTTCTTAAAACTATGATTATTGAACAACCTAAACTGTTGAATTTCTTCTGAGAATAAAATTTTCTCGTCAAAGAATAAAAATTAATACTAAGTTTTACTGTCCTAAAATACTTTTTGTTAATCACGTTTTAACGATTGAATAACCTTTAAAAATGAATGTACATCGACATTCATTAATCTAAGAACGTGCATGACTTATAAACAACATATTTTTTCTTACCTTAAAAGTTTTTACTCCCTTCTTCCTGCCATTTACACTAATCTTATGCACATACAAACCTTGCTTGACATGTGTTAGATTTTTATCGCTTCAACAGAACTACGTAAATTAACATTAGCAATTACGCACCATAGGACATAACGTGTATGATTCAGCATTGATCTCAATAATTTATCAAATACAAGAAAGGACTATCTTTGCAAGATTTTGATGAATTTTTGTATATTTTTTCTTATTTATGCATAAATGAGTGAGAAAGAAGACAAATTGATATGAATGATTTGTAATTAAATAATACCTGACATAACAAACTTCTGATGAGATTCATAATCAGTATTTAAATACAAATGAATAATACTTATCAAACTTCGTAACGTGATGAAAAATCAACAAATTACAGTTAAACTACGTGATACATTCGTGAAAATTGAATTGAATCCTAGAATAGTTCAAAAGAAAAATAGTTTCAGTCCATGAAAGAATGTTAGAATTGCTTTTTTGGAATTATTGATTGTCTTGAACATTATAATCGGTAATACAAAAGTTACAGCACTATGATATTGTCAAAATTTATTAAGGAGATTTTTTAGACAGAGACAAATAAATACGAAAACAGATTTAAGGAGTATTAATACAAGAATAAATTTAAGGAACACAAATACGAAAACAGATTTAATGTGCATCAATACAAAAATAGATTTAAGAAGTATAACCCCTTCCATCCAATATATCTAGAAGTTGGCCCAGTTCGTAGCAATTATGAAACTCCATATTTGCAGCTAGTGCGCTTATTCCAGCTGCTACAAACATACCAATTTGCAATCGTGAAACCCCTGTAAAATACCCAGTTAGGCCAGCACCTACAGCAAATATAGCTTTTATAAATCCTTTAGATTGTAGATCGGTCGTGAGTTCCACAATTTCCTTTCGAATTTTAGAGGATTCGGTGCCAATAAACTTCAAGTAAGCATCTGGAGCAGGATCTGTCATATGAATGAAATAAAACTTCAGCTTCATCCGGTTTACTGAGTCCGTATCAGACAAAGACTCTTGAAACAGGCGAATTGATATACCAGCACCCAAACCCAACATGATATCTGGATATTTTTCAATATTTTGTAGTAAAAATTTAACCTTATGGATATCTAAGTGACCGTTCTTGTCGACAGAATAGATGAGACGACCAGCTTCAACAATGATCTTAACTGACTCTGTTATTTCAGCCATGAACAGTTCTTGATTCCTAGTGGAGTACTTATTTTTATCTAAACCATTTGCTAAGCATTCACTCGAGAAAACAATCCGCTGCTGGCATAACCACAATATACAACATGTCTAAAAACAAATAGTATTAAACTTTTTGAGAACAATATCTTGTTTACTTACGAAAAGTATATGACTAGGTTTCATAGTTATAAAATACCTAGATACGTATATGTGTGAATTGTCTATTTAACGACAGAAACAAGATAAGTCAGAAGAGAAGTGATAGTGAATGTAGAACGAATGTATAATAAGACGAACAAGAATAATCGAAAGATATGTTTGTACGTATATATATATATATAAATAGATATACACAAGAGAAAGGCTAAATATTATAATTTACAAATAAATGTGTGAGTCGTCGACTTGAACGGACGTCGGCTCTAGCATAAACGTCAGCTGCCTGTCGTCGGCTTCAGCAAAAATCGGCTGACGACTTACGTCTTTAGTTACACATAGTATTACTGCATGGAAAATACCGATATGTGATATGATTATATAAAATGGAATATTCCAAAGTAATAGTAACAAATATAACGTTTGCTCTCGTTTTTCATTTGTATTGGTTTATTTATTCATACAAAGCAGATAAAAACACACTGTTTGTTTGGATATTTTGTCTTTTCTCATTCATGTTGTACATGGAAAGGCAGCTATGTTTAGCTGTATGATCACATAATACAATCATGATAAACATATTCACTTGGTTATTACCCATACCTTTAACTTATCAATGTTTGACGAGTTTTATTTATAATGAAAAAAATTGTTGAAATTTTGTATAAAAATAAGAAGTAAATGAATATTCACAGTATCATTTGTCATTTTTTCAAATTTTCGTTATTTTGATTTCGATTATTGTTGTTTGATTTTGCATTGATTATTCTTGGATTGCTGCAGTTTCTTATTCAATATTCTTTGTTTGAAAACATCTAACTAACTAAGTTTTGCCAAAGAGGAGAAGGTCGATTATAAAAGAAGCGAGCAACGATTTCTGTCATTATACCTTGCCTATTATTTATCCAAAGAAATAACCATGATTTATAAAACCTATTTGATTTTAATGTATCGGATAGAATGTTTATAAAGTGATATATTTGTGAACATAGAAGCTATATATTGAGATTGATTTAAACGAGTTCTATTTTTTATTCACGTTTAGTCAGTTCATTCGATATAGACACACAACCTGCAGTTCCTCAGCATTATAATTACTCATTAAATAGATATTTGTCATAAATAAGCGGTATTAATAAAGTTTTCATTGTCATAAGTTATCTGAAATAGATTGTAAATTATTGAATACGTCACAGCATAAGAGTAAGATGACATTTTAAGTTTATTGTACTTTAACAAAAGCAAATTAAAGCGACGCTTTCCTGCTTTACTTTATCAGATAAACTAAAGTCAAGTGTATTAGTTTAGCTTTATTTGGTACACTAGAGATAAAAGAAAATGATTTTAAAACAAAAACAACTGGCAATCTGTGACTTGTAAATAGTAATACAAGAAGAACTTTAGGCATCTTTCATTTTGTGACATTCTTTTAGACAATCTTCTTTCAAAACTAATCTTCTTTAGTATAATTTCAAAAAAAAATACATGAAAATTTGATAAAAAATTATGAAAGTCGGATGCAATTCTATCATGTTTAAGTAGGTCAATGAAACTGACGAGTGACCAAAGAGTTGTTATTTACTTTTGATTCGCTAGAAAATATATTCGATGAATCAAAATCCGTGAGTTAGAACCAGAATTTTGTGCTCTTTCAGAATATGAGCTTAGGAATTTTCTTTGAATCAGTTTTGCAAGGTATGAGTGCGGCTCACATTGACATTCGTTCTCAAGATTTAACACTTCTATATTAAAATAAAAAATTCATTGAATCGATAAATTATTATCTCAATACAATCACATTTTGTGATTACTGTTCGATCTTACGAGAAAAATCTCCCTTTCATTTGCAATAGTTTATTAGAAATGTTACTAGTAGCAAACTGCAAGATAATTCACTATCGAACATTTTTAATTTTCTAATATTCTTATTTTTCAAAATATTTAAGTAATGCATGTTTCTTTTATTGGTTTAGTAAAACTATGTAATCTAACATTAAAACAATTATATATCATTATTTTTATTCAATAGAATTAATAACCATAATTTATCAAGTATCAAAAAAATCTTATTCATTTGTTAGTTTGATAATTTTTTTGGGTTATTTTCTACTATTGACAAATGTAAGTTTATAAAACCATAAAAGCATTTTAATGTATAAAAAGTAAAATAATCAAAATATTATAAAAAAATTAAAAAAATGAACACTTCATATCACCGGGTTTTGTATCAGAAATAAAAATTACAAAATATTGAAAAAAATACGAACATGGAATAAAATATATATATATATTTATTGAATTTTATTTGGAAAATGCATACCAATTATTTGTCGAATCTGAAATTTCTTCATTCCGTATGCGATTAATACACACAATACGTTTATTAGTCATTAATTCTTGACAATAATCATGAGCCTTTGACTCATTTTCTATATAATTATTTGATACAAGCCATTGACAAAAATCATTTCCATTGAATATTGTTCCGATAGTATCCAAAGAATTGCTCATACTAAAATATAAAATTAATAAATTATAATACTTAAAAATCTTTTTTTCTATTTACCTTTGTGTTGTTACTGAATGTCGAATAAAATCTGGTCGAATTTTATGTTCAAAATCAAGATGTTTACAAATTTGAACTGTTTTGTGATTATCTGGATAACATTTGATATTTATACCAATATAACGTAAGAATTTAATAATTCTATCAAAATAAATATTCAATTATATAAAAATTTCAAATTTCAAAAACATACTTTCGACGTATAGGTATTAATAATTCAGCATCAAGTGCAAACACAAGAAATGTTATAATACCCTAAAGATAAAAAAAACAATTTCACATAGAAACTAAAATTATATAAAACTTACTTGACCGTGTAATAAAGTCGTATCAAGAAATTGTAATTCATAATAAATACCATCACGATCTGTGACTACTATTGACCATAATAAAACTGATACACACTAAGAAATAAATAAAGAAAACTTAGTTTTTTTTAAATTAATCTAAGCAATTAGTTTACAATAAAAGCATTGGTACACAACAGGCCAACAAGTACTGCATGACGAAATAATTGTGTATCTGCTTCAAGTGGTGTTATATCTAGATAAACGTATTTTAATACAACAGAGTATATATTTAAATAATAAATTACTTGATGATGTTGAATTTATTGATAATTGTCTTTGAACATCTTCACTTTCTTCATCAATTAATGGTCGAATTTCATTTGAATTTAAATTTCCACTATCACTTTCATTTGCATCATGTTTTAATTGATATGTCCGACGTGCAATACGAAGAAGATTTGTTGAAATAGTTATAATACATATAGCAAGTAAAACAATAGCAGCACTGTATTGGACTGTGTCAATTTTTTTAAGTCTTGATTTTGAATCTTCATTTTTAGTCATAATTGTTGATTCTATATAGATTACACCAACTGTAAATATTGGTAGAAGCCAACCATATAAATGATATAACCACGAATATTGACGAGCACGTTCTTTTGAATAACAAATTGATATCATTAATGCAATTGAAATACTTGTTGCCCATGCACGTGTAAGAAAAGCTGTTAGAATATTACCTAAAATGAACAAAAATAGAGATCTTCATTCATTTATGTTTGAAAATGGGTATACGAAAGATGTCCTAGAACGTGTGAGTGAAGATTTGGAAACAAGACGAACTCTTTCAATCTCACATTCATCCGCATCTTTTAGGATTTCGTATTTCATTTACCTAATTCAACTATCGTTGCAGCTGTTGTTGATATTGGTAATTCTATATATTGAGTCCCTATTGTCCATATTGCTTGTATCATTTGAACGCCAACAAAAATAAATGTATATTTATGAACAAATGATATTTTTAATAAACGACGTCGTAAACAAAATCCAATAAGAACAATAATCGTACAAAGTAATGACATAACACTAACATCATATGATGTTTTAACTAAAAATGCGTCATAGGATTGTGCTTTTATCAAATCTAATGTTTTTAAATTAATCATTTTAGCTGAAACAAGCATTATGGGTCCTGCAAGTAAAGTTGAAACAACAAGAGCAGTTGAAGCAATAGCTTGTAAAGCTAAATTTGATTCTGGTACATAAAATAGAACTGATGGTGCTGTTGGTGCTGTTCCATATAGAAAACCAAAATTTGAATAATCAATTGTATTATTTAAACTTCCATTAATTGGTTTTAAAAGAAAAAAAATTGCTTGACGTAATATTAATGGAAATAAAATTAATTTAACCATACTAAGTATAACTACAGTTATAACAAGATGTGAATGAAGACGAGATAATTTTCCAACCATAGTTAAACCAAGATAAAATAATGCTGTTGCACTAAATGATTGTGCTACTGGTGTTAATATAAAATCGAGTGTATTTGGTAGTTTTTCATTGAATATACGATTAAATATAACACCAAGTAATGTACATATAACAATTGGATTACGACTTATATTATAAAATATGACTTTAATCAATTGATAAGGATGTTTTCCACGGTGTTTATCTCGTTGTTCAAAACGTTTTTGTATTTCAATTAAAATAATACCAATTGGATTAAGTATAACTAATGATATAGGTGCTATTAAATAAATATATCGTTCATAATCTGGATGGGATTGTTTATAAACAGCATTAATAATTGGTAAAATTAATGCAAAATCATTACTTTGTGATGTCATTATTGCATATAAACCTATACTTGCAAAATTTCTTGGACGTTCAGCTATACAAGTTAAAATTGCTGTACATATAAAAACAATTGTTTTAGCAATAAATACAGATGCAAGAAATGCCCATGATAGACTTTGAAATTGCACATTAACGAGATTTTTAAATATTACAGCTGGTAGAGCGAAATTACTTATATAACGTGAAAGACCAATTGATTGAGTATTTGTTAATAAATTCATTCCTCCAGCGATATAACCAACAGCAATTATGAAAAAGCATTGAATCAGAGCTGGATACAGCTCTTCATCAATAGCCATATTAGTACTACTAGTATCATTCATCATCTACAATAAACAAATAGAAGATATAGATAGTGAAAAAAATTTATTTGAAAACTTATATAAAAATAACGTGATGATTTATAATAATAATAGCAAAAAACGAATAGTTTAAATAATGGAATAATGACAAATTTCATATTACGTCTAATACAAAAACGATTTTTATTCAAATTGACATCACACATATTTGTATATTCTTTCCTAGATTTTTGTTGAAATATCACTGGTGTTTTTTTATACATGATGCATTTCTTCATATACGAAAAGCTTAAAACTACAATGGATAATTTATTCATATGAACATTCAAGTTTAAATATATTGCAAAAGGATTTCTCGTAATAAAATACTACTTTTTCATTAGTTTTCAATCTGTGATACTTCACCATCTATACTCCAATACATCACAGTTGCAAAATGCAAGTTTATGCTAAAAGCATATATTTAATCTTTCATATCTCTGATAACAGAATTGTTTAGATAAACATTTATTTAGAAGAAATTTACAAAAAAATTACTAACATTATATATGAATAATTTCTACTAGTATAATAATATCTGTATTAATATTTTATATAAACAAGATTATTAACAAAAAAAAACAGATCATTAATAAAGAAAACTTGTGAGATTTTTGAATTGAGCCAATAATTATCAGACTTTGTCATTACATACGACCATACATATTTTTAACTAATAGCCGCTTTAGTTATCATTTCATAAGCTGATGTTTGATTATTTGTCAAATGAATAGTATTTCCATCATCATTGGTTAATGCTAATAGAATTTAATTGATTTTTATTTCATAAAAATAAAAAGTTTTATTTTACTTACCATCCATGTCATCAACATTTGAGATAACTGGTGAGAAAAGTATCAAAACAGCAAAGACATATATATTTAACATACCATAAATTCCTAGAAATGAAATAAAGATAGATAAATTTTTTCGATAAACACCTTTTTACCTGTTATAAATGCTCCTGAATAATGAATTTTAGGACGTTTTTCTGTATCCCAAACCCATTCTGTTTCATAAATTTGACTTAAACAATACCAGACAATTGTAAGTATAGCACATAGAAGTGTAGATAATAATAAAAATTGAAATCGATAGAATGCTCCCTTTATATAAATAGAAATAAAAATCCAAATATTATATAATTAGATTTTGTTTTTATTCATCAAACCTGATACATTAAACGTCGAATACGACGCATAGCTGCTAGTTCACCTTGTTTACTTCGAATATTCCAAAAAACTCGTATAACAAGTACAAGAAGACAAAGAATATAGACAAAACTCGATAAACCAGCAAGTACAAGAAATGTTAAACTAGCATTACGACCAGCTGCTGTGGACCAAATTGAATGAAATGGATTCCAAAGTTGAAATCCTCTAAATATAAAAATTAATAAAAATAAAATATTTCAATTTTTGTTTTACCTTTGACACAGTGCAAATATAAGTAAAATACTTGAAGCAAACCAAAGTAAACCAAGATATTTTCCATATGACCAAAAACTATAATTTATATTTTTATCCTAATATAAATATAATATAATCATACTAAAATCATTTTTAAAATAATTATCTTACAACACTATGTTCACCAGCAAAAAATAACCAGAATGTTAATAGAACTGTTAAGAAAAATCCTTGACGAATTTCACTATAGATTTGAAAACCATTGAAAGGCATAATAAGCGTCAACCATTCTACAGGTGCTAAAAATAAATGAAATTTTTCTATTATATAAAGATTGTGTAAATATGATATAGAACATACCATTGAGTATACATGCTGAGAGACCAAGTAAGAATAATAATCTAAATGAAATATTAAGAATATCATAATAGGTTCTTTAAAAAGTAAGGAAGTAGAAAATAATTTTATATTTTATCGAGTCATATAATAAAGAATATGTTAATCAGTAAGTTGGATTTTTGTACTTATCACAAATAGAATGGATATAGCCAATTCACTGATATGTGTTTAATAGAGATTCTATTATCAATTAAATAAACATAACACTTTCAAAACTTTCGTCTTTCTGTAGAAAAGATGATATCAGAAGAAATTTCGTTAGCACTTTACATTACTATATATCAGTATGACAAGATAAAATCGACCCTGACTCAAATTGCAGACTACTTGACCCGAGGCAATGTGATTCACATAGACTTGTTAGATTTCAGGTACTTATGAAACCTCGAACAACAAGTTGTAATAATATAACAAAAAACTTTAGGTAGTCAATGTAAAAATCTGTTGGATACTGAAAACAAATTACTAATATAAAAGAACGATAATGCTTTCATTCTAAAGTATAACATGCATACAATTCGTGTTTTGGATTAATCATAAACCAGATAATATTGAGTGTTTCGACAGTTCTCTTAGAATAGCTTGACATAGGCTCAATCGAGTTCAAATATTTTTGTACTTTACTAACGTTTTTTGTGAATTTAATGCTACTATCGATTAATCAAATAATTACTTGTCAAGATTTGTATATGGTTTTTGTGAACGTTTCATTTGTCGACAAAACCAAATAAGTGCAAGAAGAATAATTGGAAATGTTATTGTTTTTAATGTATACCATACTTTAGTAAAATTTTCCATTTGATAAATACCCTAAATATATATACATATGATTTCAAAACGTTTCTTTTTTTTATGATTCATTAATACTAACAACAAATTCAAATGTTGTAAGTTTACCAATATTTTGTGAAAGTCCATTTTCATCAACTATTTGTAAATTAATTAAATAATGAGGATATTTCAATGTTGATAATTCAAGAAAAGCTAATGGTTCACATGAATATGCATCAGGTATATTTTTAATCTAAGAAGAAAAAATTTTAGAAGATTATAAATAGATGAACAGAAGCGATATACTTTATGTTCAGGTAAAGAATATATTGGTTCACATTGAATGAAACGAGATTCTCGCGATTGTGCTTCTAATTTCCATTCAGAATTTATATCTTCATACATTTCATCAGTTTTATAACCTAGACGAACATCATATGTTAAAACAGCATTTGAACCTTTGAACAAAAAAGGTATTTATGTCATTGATAATAAAAAAACAAAAGAAGACTGACTTAAATTAATTTTTGGATCATATTCAAGATGTGGTACAATAATTGATGTTAATGTTTGAAACCAACGTGTAATAGGTGGTAATTGTATAACATAAACAAAATCTTTCCAAGATTTTCCCTATAGAAGAAAATAAATATCGGATTTTTTGTTCAAATAAAATTTTACAGATCCCAATCTTGGTTGATCTTCGTGACAATTTCCTTTTTCACGATGATAGATCCATGGAGTATTTCGTTTCGTTTGACATACAGAAAATTCATGATTAGCAGCATGTGTTGGTTTTGTTGCTAAAAATAAAAATAAAGATAAAAATTAACCTTTTTTATTATTTTATCTATACCAATAAGGCCACCAACAAGAAAATAAATTATTTGAATAATTATTAAACAAACAAGAAAAATCAAGAGTTTTTTTCTTGTTAATTGTTCTAATAAAACAAGATAAGCCATGTCTTGTTTTGTTTTGTTGATATTTTAAATAAAGATAAAACTCAAGAAGAATGACGACCTATACATCTATGAATTTTAATTTTGATATAAACGAATTGTTTGAAAGGTCACTAGATGTCGGTTATAATGTATCCTATCATCTGATTTGCAAAATGTAACAAAAATGAGTCATTCCTTTTCTTTTACCTACGGTGGTTTCTTTTTTTTTACATTCTTTACTTCTTAGGGTCATGTTACGAATATTAGTAATTATTCTTCTGATAGCATTTAATCAAATTGAAAGTAAAGATAATTAATTGATAATAATTTAAATTGAAATATTTATTTAATTAAAGGTGTTACTATTGAATACCCATCGAATGGACATATTAAAGAACGAATACGAGAAGATATTAATTCAATAGATAAAATATTTCGATATTATATTGTTCCACGAGAAATTCAATTTCATGCTGATGCTTTACAAGATCGTTTACCGTATTTTTTACAATGCAAAGGAACAAAAAACTCAGTGAAGTTTACTGTTCCACCAGCAGCGACTGATGTAAGTCATTTATATAAAATGAAAATTTAAAAAAATCTCCCTTTCTAGCATTTGGCATTAAATACAGAGTATTCTTCTAATACAATTACTGCTACATTAAGAAGAAATCAATTTCGTCCTGAACTTGTAGGACGTTATACATGTTCAGAAACAATTAATGATAAAATAGTAGAAACATCTGTTTATGTATTCATTCAAGGTGCATATATATTTTATTTTCACTTTCAAAAAATTTTAATAAACTTTTTTATAGATGGAACTACTGTATTTACTAAAAGACTTTATCCTAAAGTTTTACAACAAACAGGTGTTCATTTTTTTAATTTACCATGTCAAACAACAAGTTGGTATCCACGAATGTCATGTCCAACACCAACTGATCCAAGTCAATGTAAAATACTTGAATGTAATTCAAAACAACGTCAAGTAAATGAACTTAAATGTAATATACCTGTATGTACTGGCCAAGAGATATGTATTCCTGTTTATTATACACCAGCGGATTTGAAGCCTTCGGTTAGTTATTTTTTATAAATTCGAAAAAGAAGATATTTATAGATATTTTTTCTTTTAGAAAGTTTTTTTTGATCCTCAAATTGGTTTTGCATTAGAAAATCCAACTATTCCAAATTCACTTATTCAATTTACTTGTATGAGTAATTATACTCCAAGTCAAATATCACGAATTCCATTCGATACATTCGATCGTAAGATTTAGAAATTTCTTAATACAAATAAAATATTTTTTTTTTCGATATTTTTCTAGCTGATCATATTGAAATTCATCAACCAAGTTTAAATGTTATGCCTGATGAAACTGTAAGATTAAGTTGTGAAATTCAATATGGATCAAAAATGAATAGCAAAAATCCTAGTATTTTCTGGTTTGATGATATTTATGATGTAAATTTCTTTTTCTTTTTATAATTTATAAATATTTTCTAATTTCTTCACGTTATTTAATAGCTTAATCTTGTAGCAAATGAAACTGAAAAAGCTGTTTTTAATCCTCTTACACAAGTTTACAGTCGAAATAGTTCAATAACTCTTCGTGGTTTTAAATCAGATAAAGTTTATCGTTTTTATTGTGTACGCGTATCTGAACAAGGAATTTATTCACGTTCTGTTGAGATAACATGTGTTAGTGGTATGTTTTATATATGCTGAGATATAAAAAAAAAGAAAAGAAACTATAAAATTCTTATTTTTAGTGCCATCACTTGATCTTGAAATAAGTTCAAATGGATTAGATACTGATAAATCAGTATCCTATGGGTCAGATAGTAGTTATGATATAACTATTTTTACTATTCCACGATCAAAAATTGTACTGGAAATAACACGTAATGGAGTGCCATTAACAAATGATAAACGATTTGAATTATTACCTGTGTAAGCATTCTTCATTATATATACATAGAACATGACAATCAGCTCATAATCACATATACTTCTTCTTCTTCTTAATATATTCATAGACATACAAAAGGTATTTGCACGTATTTCTTTCTGTTTTGTTTGCTTAATATGCATGAATATTGTTATGAAGAAAAAAAAACAACTTCTTTTATGTCTATAAACTTATTCTTTTATTTATTTTTTCTTATTTTAGAACTGATCGTGAAAATCAATTTTATGATTATACATTAACAATTTATAATGTTACATTTGAAGATGAAACAGATATAAAAATTCATGCTAAATCATCTGCATTAGAAAAAAGTAAAATAATTAAACCAAGTGTTACGGGTAATCCAGTTGGTCAATTTTCATTTGTACCAAATGAAATTCCACGTGATATACCTTGGCGTGATGATAATTATAAAACTAAATTAAATCTATATACTTATGGTATATATCAGCGTGAATCATATCGTGTTGTTTGTACAGTTCGTCATCGATCTGATATAGAACGATCATTAAATGTATTTATTCAACATAGTGTATGTACAGTAGATAATTGTTTATCAGATATAATCGATAGAACTTGTCAATCATCGACAAATCAACGATTACCAACAACAAAAGCAACTCGTATAAATAATTTTCAAACACAATTTGTTAGTATTGAATCACAAACTATTAATGATCCATCAATGGGTCATCAATATATTTGTTGTTATGAACAAAATGGTATATTTATACTTGCTAAAGCTTTAACAGTATTAGCACGTAAGAGATTATTTATTTTTTTGTTTGTGTATTCATTTTTTTTTAATATTATATTTAAGGTAATCGTAATATGTTTATTGTACATAAACCGGAATTTAGTTTAGTTACGGGTGACGTATTAAAATATAGATGTGAAAGTCATGATTTAGTTTATGATGATGTTCGTATGATTTATAATGATGGTTTATTCACTTATGAAAGAAATCGTTTTGATCCTGAATGGCGTTTAATTGGAACTAATCAAGCTAAACAAGTTGATATTGAATGGTCATCACCAACAAGGTTTTCTTTTGCAAAAAAAATATTTTATTATAGAATTTTATTTTTTTGTTTTGTTAATATATTAGTGAATACATTCTTGATACAGCTGTTGAACTTAAAACACCACCATTAAGAAAAATTGGAAAAAATGGATTTTTTCAATGTACAGCAATTTCGAAACGATCAGATGTTATTCCAAGTATGAATGATACATATATGATTAATGTAGATGGTAAATAATAATAACAATAATAATAGTAATATTTCATAGAAAATTATTTTTATATTTAGATCCCGTACAATTACAATTTAAAACCAATTTACCAGCAGTTTCTAAAATTGATCGAAAATCGGGTACAAATGTTGATTTTGATTGTTCATATGATGGACGACCACAACCGAAAATAGTCTGGTGGAAAGGAAAAGTACCATTGATTAGTGATGATTCAACATTACAATTTCGTGATAATAATGGAAGGTATAAATAAATAGATATTTCTTATATTTAAGTCATTTCTGTGCAACAGAATTTTGAAAAGACTCAATTAAATATTTAAGATTATAATTTTGTTTCTTTTAGTATTCATATAACACGTGCTCAAGCATCCGATACAGGTTATTATACATGTGAATTAACCAATGGTCGTGATCCAAATTTAAGTCGAAGTTTTGATTTACGTGTCAAAGGTAATAGAAAATCATTGATTCTTTTTAGTTATATAGTATTTGTTTGTTTATTCAGGTCCATCTGTTTCTACAAGATATCGTCGATTAACAAATATATTTATAATAATATCTGCTTGTTTAATATTACTTCTACTTGTTTTATTAATTATTGTTGTAATAAAATATATTAAAATGAAACAACTTGTTGGAAAAAGTGTATTTCATGCTGAACAATCAAATGAACCAGAAGATAAATCTCAACCACCAATGACACAATTAACACGTATACCATTACCAGATAATTTTGCATCAACAGCACAAGTTCGTACATTACTTGGTCTTGTTAATAATGAAACATCACGAGGAGTAAAAGATGATTTTAAAGAACTTGGTCATGGTCAATTTGGTGTTGTCTATCAAGTACGTTTACCTGAAGTTGGTCTTGTTGCTGCTAAATTATTACCAGAATCTATACGTAATACTACTGAACGTCGTCATGATAAACGTAAAAAAAGTGATGATTTTGAAGAAAGTCTAGAAATGTTAGAAAAAAAAGAAATTCAAAAGAAAAAAGCTGCAGAAATGTTGATTGATGAAATAAAGGTTATGCATAAAGCTGGTAAACATATTAATATTGTATCATTACTCAAAGTTGCATATCCTGAAACAAAATTTAAATATTTAATCACTGGTGGTCTTATACGTGATGAAGATTCATTTTATTTAATGGAATTATGTTCAAATGGTTCACTTGAATCAATGTTAAAACGTTTTCTTCAACCATCAAAAAATTCATCACACGATAAATTATCATTATATGAAACACTTGCTAAACAAAATGATCCAGGAATGACACTTGAACAAGCACATGAATCATGTATATTAACTGATGATGATTTAAAATTAGCTGCATATCAAGTTGCTAGTGGTGTAGATTATTTAAATAGACGACAAATAGCACATTGTGATATTGCAGCAAGAAATGTTTTAGTTAGTTCAAGATTTATTATGAAAATATGCGATTTTGGGTAACTAGAATTGTTTATATATTGAATTACGAGTATAGCAAAAAATCTTATTTAGTTTGGCAACATATACAACATATAAAAGTTATCGTGAACAACTTGCTCAACATGAGACTGTACAACTTGAAAAGAAAAATGTATAATTGATTTTTAATCGAAGAAAAGAAATGAAAATATTTTATTTCTGTTATAGAATGAATTAGCAACACATAATTTAACACCAGAACTTGCTAGAGCATTTCTACGTGCATCAACTCCTGATGAACGTCTTTTACTTAATAAATCATCACTTAAATCTGATGTGTAAGTTAATTTTATTTAAATTATTTCTATAAAAAAAATATATTAATAGATGGTCATTTGGAATATTTCTTTGGACATTATTTCTTAAATGTAAGTATTCTATGTTTTCTTTTTTTTTTGTTTGATTTCTTATTCGTATAATAAAAGGTCAAATTCGACCATTTAATAAATTACTCGAAGAAATGCAAAATAAAAATGATGGTGAAAGCTTTTTTCATCGACTTGCTCGTGTTGTTAGTGAAGGTCGTGTTCTTAAATATATTGATTATCAAAAAGAAATTCCTGGCAATATGTAATAATTAATTTTGCATTTATTAAAATTATAATTATGTTTTCTTCATTTCTTTTATTAAGTTATGCTATTATTCGTGATTGTCTTGTTGAAGAGAATGATCGTCCAGAAATGACACGAATACGTGCACTATTATGCCATTCAAAAATGTTATCAAAACAAGCATTTGAAGTATGTTTTAATAATTTTTCGATTAATTTTTTCATATAAAATTATTTCTTTCGTAGTATTATCGATCGGAATATAATCGTTATCAAGAAGAGAATGCTGCTGATGAAAATGTTCTTCGATTTGGTGAAGATCAAGGTGTTAGTGATTTACCATCATTTAATGCTGATAATAATTCTGATGAAAATTATATATCAGCAAATGTTCGTCAAAATAATAAGGATGTTACTTTTCGTCCACCAGCAAATGATTATTATGCAACGGCAAGTGATGGTACATCTCATACATATTTATCTCAATCAGATAAAGATTATCCTGAACAAAGAGATGATTCATATTTAATACCAGTAAAAGATAATAATACAAATAAACAACAACAACCACGAACAATTGTTGGGAATGTATCGAGTGTACAAAATCCATTATTAAAACCTACGAATGAATCAAATATTCCTCGAGTTGGTATAAAAACTCGTGCACCATTAAAACCATCGGCATCACCTCCATCAACAAAACGTGATGATTCAGGTGATAGTTATGTATAGATATGTGTGTTAGTTGTAATGATAGTGCAATTTTTTTCTACTATGCACATTCAGATTGAAAAAAAAGGGAATTGTCCATTATGTTTTTATCTTACAGTGCTATTCTGTGATGTAAATCATCATTTAAATATTTCTCTGAACAAAATTTTTCCGCTTCTTATTCTTCTTTATCATTTTTGTATCTAAGATCTGTATGTGTGTTGTTTTTTTGTAGTCTAATAAACATGATAGAAAAAAAGCTAACAATTTCATAAGAACTTCATATAATGAAAATCGAATCAAATGTTAAGCAAGAAAAAGAAAATATAACAAAAACACAACGCACACACATATATATATTAAGTAAATTGTTCAGTGAGAATTGACGAGAATGTTTTAGTTTTTTCGATAGTAAAATAACTTCGACGAAATACACGAATTATACGTTCAAATTCATCGTCATCATAAACTGATCGAGCAGTATTAGATAAATCGAATGGTTCTTCAAAAAACAAAATAAGAATTAATATTTGTTTACTGTTTAAAAGTAATTCATATACCTTCAATAGCCAAGAGGGCATCTCCATAATGAGTATGATCATTATCTAGAAATTCTTCTTTATCCATCAAACAGCCCATACGAACGCTAATAGCATGTTTATCATATCTAAATATAATTTGAAATTGTCATATATATACTAGTTTTTTGGATACCGAAAATCTTTTGCATAGAATTTTAAAAAACCAATAAACAATTCAGCTACTGTTTGACGATTTTCTGAGCTCCAAATTAATTTTGGTTCATCAGTTCGTTTTAATCGGGAAACAGGTATATTAACATCAAAACGATTCTTAAAAAAAAAATTATTTAATTTGTTTTTATCGGTAGTGATACTATTCAACATACTGGTAAAAGCGCTTGCCAAACAGGTACAACTGATGGTTTTGCAATACCTAAAATAATTCTCAAATAATTTCAAAAATAAATAAATTAAATAATTGATTACCTTGTAGATAGAAGAGACACATTAATGTGATAGAATAGCTTGATAATGTTTTTTGACTGGCATCATTAATCTAGTATTAAAAATAAAATAAAATATTTCATATATATATAAAATAAGATTTATATCTTTTGCCCTACATTATGAAATTTTGCCCATGATTTGAGTGTTAAGACTAGAGAAAAACAAACGATTATTTATATATTAAAATTATAGAGATACACCATCTCTGATTTTCTCAGCCATTTTAAGATAGTCTGAACTATGCTCAGACCCTCCTATTTCAGGCTATTTGAAGCCATTAGAATGGCCAAGAATGAGCGACTACCTTGATTTGTACCCAATGATCTTTGACATTAGTTGCTAAGTCGGAAAACTTGAACTTAAAACTTACACTCAATATTTTTCTTCGAAAATTTACGTGAGTTCTACAAAAGATATGTTGATGAACAAATTAAAGTACTAACCAAGTGGAGCCACTCGTTCATCTGTTTCTGAATAAAAACGTAATAGATCTGTATTTCGAATACCAGTTGAGTTATTAATGTTTACATCACATCTTAATCGACTAAAAAGCATATAGAAATATTTATAAACAACAAAATATTCAATACAAAATATCATACGTGGCATAATCAGTAAATCGTAGAATAGGTACACGAGCACGTATTAAATCACATGAACCAGCAACTAAATAACAAGAAACAGTATTCAATACGAAAGAAAATTAAAGTAGAAAATACGAACATATTTTTTTTCGTAATGCACGTCGAACTATTTCAAGAAATTTAACTGCTTCACGTTTTTGATCAATCTAAAAACGTAGAAGAATTATATAAAATTACTTTTTGTTTTTTATATTTTATTTATTTACAGGATAAGATGAAATAACAATACATATATCGGCATCAGTATCTTCAGTAGCAAATCCATTTGCACTTGATCCAACTAAATAAACACCTAAATCTAAAAACAATTTTTTTATAAAGATAAAGATTATAAAATTAATTTCATTTATTTTACTTGGAACAATTCCAATAAACATTGCAAAAAGATCTTGGCAAAGTTTCCATTTTAATGTATAGGTAGAATCAAGTTGTTTTGCTGTAGAATAATGATTTAAAAGTTCACTTTCTAACTAAAAACATATAATAAAAACTTTTTAGAATTTTTATTCTAGAGAATTATTGTGTGAATAATGATGAAATGAAGTAGAATTTAATTTATACTTTTTAATTAAAACAGATATAGATTATTCTCAATTAATTATTTCTCTTTTATAGAATAAGATCATACATTAATAATGCTATTGTTTTCTTCTTATATACACTTCGATTGAGAGAATGAATTCTAAGCATGCAAACAACAGCTAGAACACGCGGAAAGCAAATTGATTAATATATTCCGAACTTTTCCTTTGAAATGATCAAATTTCTATGTTCATGTATCATTACATGTGTTCATCTACTTATTTTCAAGATAAATATCTCGTTTCATAAACGAAATGTACTTAATGAAAAGAAAATATTTCTTACCACATGAAAATTTGAAGAATTTGAATTAACTGTATTATTATCATCTTGTTTTAATTTTTTTGCTTTATTGAACTTCGGACTATGTGACCTATTAAGAACAAAAAATTATCGAAAAATAATTTTCCCAAATTTTTTTCATACTCTCGTGGTCGTTTTCTATTTAGTTGACTAAAATTCATAGACGGTTCATCGTCATAATTGTTAAAGTCCTGTGGTGGTAATTTCATATTATTTCTTTGACGATTTGTTTGTTTATAACCAAAACTAACTCTTTGTTTATTTGTTACTGATGACATATTTTTATTTTATCTAAAAAAGAGAATGTTTCATAATATGAAACTAGAAAGAAATACGTCTAATTTATTTTTTTATTTTTTATCTAAATAAAACTATTTATTTGATTCTTTAAAAGCATTCATATGTTGTTCAATAGCATATGCTACTTCTTTTGCATTCTTATTTCTTCCATAATAATCAACAAATTCTCCATTTGGATTGATTAAATACATCACAATAGCATGATCAACAATATAATCATCACCTACTTTTGGTCCTTGACTAAAATAAACACGATAATGTTTACACATATCAGCAACTTGATCACGTGTTCCAGTTAAACCAATAAAATGGGGTGAATAATCTTTAATATATTTTGATACTAATTCAGGTGTATCACGTTCAGGATCAACGGAAACAAAAAGTGGTTGAAATGGATAATTTTGTTTATTTTTTTGTTTATGAAGAAGTTCAGTTACTTCAGCTAATTTTTCTAATTCTTCTGGACATATATCAGGACAATGAGTAAAACCGAAATAAATTAATATCCATTGACCATGAAAATCTTTATCGGTAACTGGTTTTTTTTCATGTGTTATCAACGAAAATGGACCACCAATAGCCATTTTACCTACTGCTGCACGTTGAAGTACTTTACGTTTTTTTGCTTTATTTTGATCAAGATAATAAATGAAACCAATTAATGATGCAGCACCGAAGATAGTTACAGATACAGCTGAAAGGTAAAACAAAATATATCATTTCAATAATACACGTTAGTTTTGTAGACTTACTTTTCCATGAAATATTATATTTTGTTTTCTTCTTTTCGGATGATGGTATTTGATTTGGTAGAATATTAGCTGGTGTTTCTGTTTTACTAGATGATGGTAATGTTGATGATAATAAACGATTTTGTGTTAATCGAAAAATATTTCTTGTGATATAAGTCGATGTTCTAATTGATAATAAATGAGACATAATCGACATGATTGTTTATTATTATTCTATAAAATGAAACGAAACAAAAAGATTTTATTTCAATAATATGTATCATTCTAACAAAAAAATTTTGTTGTCTTTTTTATTTTATTTTCCAATACAAAAATCACGAAATATAACATCAAGTAATTCTTCCGTATAAACAACACCAGTTATTGTTCCAAGTGATCGAATAGCAAGACGAAGATGTTCAACAGCAAGAACAAGATCACGATTATTATTTATTAATAATAAAAACATTTTTAAATCTTCAACTGTTTGTGTTAAATATATTCGATGACGTTCATTTGTTAAATATGGTGTTGTAAATGATGGTTCAGTACATCTAGAAATAATAAAATCTTAGTTTAAAATTAACATCAAGAATAATTTTACTTGTCAGCAATTGTTTGAGTTAATTTCGAAAGAAATTTTTGTATATTAATATTAGATATACATGAAATAGGTATAATATTATCAGAAAATTTCATTTGACTCTTTTCATTAACTAAATCAATTTTATTAAGTATAATTAATTTAGTTAAAGAATTCAATGAAGATGATTTTATTGTAAATAAATTTGATAAATGTTGATCAATTTGTTCATTTAAATTTTCATTCATATTTAATGTGCTAGCATCAATAACAATAATCAAAAGATCACATAGATTTGCTCTTATTATAAGAAGAAGTAAAAATTTCATATTAAAAAAATTAAATTATTTTAAGGTAAATATAAACCTATCAAAAGCTCTTGAAACTCCTTCACTTTCAATTGGATCATTCGTTATTCGTAATCCTGCTGTATCACATATAATTACTGGATATCCTCCTAAATCAATTGTTGATTCAATAACATCTCGAGTTGTACCCGCAATTGATGAAACAATCGCTGTAGGTTTTTGTGCTAAAATATTTGAAATTAGATATGTACTTCTTCAAAAAATAAAAAAATTACTTACTTAAAATATTTAATAACGAACTCTAAAATAATTTTACGAAAAAAAACGTTTTTCTGCTTTTATTCAAAAATTTATTTTACTTTTCCAGCATTCGGTGCCCCTAAGATAGCAATTCGACAACCATCACGTAAAATTTCTCCACGACGATGATCTTGCAAATGCAAGGATATATTATCATAAGTTATTTGAACTTTCTGAATAACTATAAATAAAAATCTTATTAGTTAGAAAATAATCTTTGAAACTATTCTATACCTCCTGTTAAAATATCATTTTCAATATGTTGATCTTCATGAAAATCAATATAAGCTTCTGAATGTGCTAAAGACTTAAAATAATCAATTGAATTAAATCTTTCGAATTTTTTTTTTCTTCATACTTTAACTAAATCAATTCTCCATCGTTCATAAAGATCTTTTAATGAACCTTGCATTTGATATAATGATTGTTTACGTTGTTGTTCTGTTTGAGCATTTATTAAATCAATTAAACCTTCAGCTTCAGTTAAATCCAAACGACCATTTAAATAAGCTCTAAATATATCTTAAACTACCTAATTGATTTTCAAAATTATTTTTATGAAAATAATTTCTTACCTTTTACTAAATTCACCTGCTTCAGCTAAACGATAATTTGGAAATGAACTAAGAATTGAAAACATTACACTCGCGATTGCTTTCGATCCATGAATATGACTAAATTTAATATAAAAAAATATAATCATTTTCTTTTTTTTGTAATATTTACAATTCAACAACATCTTCTCCTGTAAAGCTTTTTGGTCCTAAGAATATGCAATTTATATATTTATTTTCATTTATAAATCAATTATTTTACCTTTAAACCATACAGTCATACATTGATCGATTAAATCATTTGTTTTATTATCATAAATTTTTGTTAAATATAATTTTTTTGGTTGAAATTTTTCTAATTTTGTTTCTCTTGTTAATGTTAATAATGATTGTGTTGCTAATGAACCTGATATACGAATAATAGCTACACCACTACGTACTTGATAACCAGTTGCTAATGCAAATATAGTTGATAATGTTGATGAATGACGTGAAATAAATAAATTTTTATTTTTCCACAATTGATTAAAAATCATCTATGTTTTTATGTATGTATATATACAAAAGCCAAAAAAAAACAAAAGAAAGAATAATTTATATATATATATATATATTTATATTTATATAGATATATTAAAATGAGACAACAGCAAAAGCTGAACATACTGTAATTTTAAGAAAAAAAAGAAAAACAAACATATTGCATAAAATAAAAACTACGACAGGTGACTAGGATTAAAACTAAATTATTAGAAGTTATATATATATATATGTATGTATATACAAACTATCTGTTACAATAAAAATATTTTGCTAAAAAGAAATGGACGAGAAATTTTTTTTTTATTCTTTTTGTCTAGTTAATGATCGTCGTAATGTTGAATAAGGGATTAATCGTGGAAAAGTAGGTGATGATGAAATCGATTCATCTAGAAAATTGCAAAATATTTTAATAGAATTCGAATTATATATATGTACCTTTTTGATTTGGTAGAATTTGTATATCACATTCTAGAATAAATAATATAATTTCTTAGTTTTTTTTTTCTAAATTATAATTTTACCATCGAAAACAGCAATTGGAGCATCATTGGTTGGATCGATTTCAACATCAATAGTATTTTGAATAGTTGTACGAATTGAATTAAATCCTGGTTTAACACCATTCATATTTATTGGTTCACGTGGAATTAATTGTGGTACCATATCATTCAATGTTTTATCTATTAATCAAAATAATTATTATCTATTGAAATTATTTTGTTGTTTAACTTACAACTCATTAAAACAGGTTCTTTTAATTTTGCATGACGACATCTTCGTCGTCTTGTCTATTTAAAAAATTCAAATCAAAATGAAGAAAACAAAAATTTCTTTACTTTTATTTGTCGAACAAGCATAAAACAACAATAAGCTGGAAGTCCAATACCAGCACAAACTGCACCAGCTACAACTGCTAAACATAGAAGAATGGGTGCGGCTAGAATTTTTCCACCTAAAATTGAACCACGTATAAGTCGACGTTTTAATGGATTATCAGGATAAAAACGATATTTGCAACCAAGTACACTTAATTCACTATAATGATCACCTAAACAAAAACAAAGCAAATTTCGATTATTTAAAATTTATAAAAAAACAAAATACGAACCAATAAATTTAATATCTCGAAAACGATCACCACATTTATAACAAAATTCTGTTTTACAACGAACACAAACTATATGATCACATCCTTTAGTTCGTTGAATATATACCTTTGAGAAAAGTCAAAAAAAAAGATCAAATGAAAGAATTGAAAGATTTTTTTACTTTGCAAGAAGGACATTGTTGTGCATTATGTTGTCCATAATGAACTTCTCTTGCCCATTTTTTTAACATTCGATCACCACGACGAAATTCTTTACATTGTATACCATCATGCCATGGTGAATGACATTGAAAGCACCAAATTAAATTACATTCTACACATTGAACTTTTGTCGGTGCTCGTCGCATTGATCGACAAAGTTCAAGATCTAAATATTTTTTATATTTTTAATCAAAACAATTACTTTATTCATTCAAATTATGAAATTAAATACCTATTTCATGAATATTTGAACATCTTGGACAAGTTTTAATATTTATTGAACGATTATTATCAACTAGATAACGTGTAAATTTAAGTCGTACTTCTGGTGATATGCAACGTTTATGTATTTCATCTCGATGCATATACATATGACATTGTTGATTTGGACATTGCATACGAATAATGCCTTGTTTAATTTGTTGTTCAACATACATATTTAAACATGTTGAACAAGCATAAAAATCACAACATGAACGTTTTTGTAGACGTTTCATTTCGCAACAAATAATACATTCAGATAATGTTTCTGATAAAGTTAAATGTGAATTTAATAAATTAGGTAAAGTTGAAATTTGATTTAGTTCAGTACTTTCTTCATCACTTGTTTCATCAATTTCAGATGATATGGATTTATTATCATTATCATCATCATCATCATTATCTTCTTCTTCTTCTTCTGAATAATTTTCATTTGATTTATTATGTATAATCGTATCAGCTAAGAAGCACTGTCTATTCAATGCACTATGATGTGATACACCTGATCCTGATGATGAAGTTGATGAAAGTGGACGAGGATGTGTATGATTTAATGGAGCGCTATTTTTACGAAGATTAATATTAGCTGTATTTAATGATTGTTCAGTAAGAGCAGAAAGTGCTGTGCCTGTATTTTCAATAACTTTTCCAGTTATTGGTGGATGATGATGATGATGCAGTCGACGTGTTGATGAAATATTTGTTGATGTTTTAATTAATGGATAATTTTTATAACGTTCAAGTACTTGTCGTTGTGCTGTAGTTAATGGCAAATTAGCACGAACATTTGGATGACGATTACCTCGTTCCGAATGCCATCGTCTTTGATTACTACCACCCATAGTTATTTTTGATGTTGGATTTATATTTGTTGTTACTGTTGCTGCTGCTGTTGCAGCTAATGATGATGATGGAGGATTAGTTGAATTTGTCAGTAAAGATGTTTTAAGATTATTTCGAAGAAAATTATCAAGAATAGCTGTTGAACCAAGAAGAATTTTTCTATTGAGTGATTGTGCTTTTGTATCATTTGTTTCATGTATAGAACAATAACAACAATTATTTAATGTCGTATTATCATTACATAATAATTTTTCTGCAACATGTTCAAGATGTGTTGTATAATTTTTTTGTAAAACAGCAAATGAACATGAATGATTTAAATGTTTTTTTCCTAATGTATCATCGACATTGGGTGTTGATAATGAACAACAATATCCATCTATATTTGAATTATCAATAATATCTTTAGTTAAATTTATATTATGATGTTCATCAGTAAATAAATCTAAATTAAATAATGAACAATGTTGCCATTGCTTAACATCATGATGAAGATCAATTTCTGGTTGTATATTA